AACCATAGACAATAAGCCTTCATTTATTTGGAACCCGTTTCATAAGTGGAATCAAACCACACACTCTTCATCTCATTTTTGGGGTACCGGTCCCTCATACCTCGTGCTTATTCGATCTATGTTTTACAAGATTTTCCAACTTTAAAAACGTGCAAGTGAAGTTAGTATATACTCTTCATTTCACATATTCAAAGTTAGCTTTCACATAAGCACACATATTTCCACATATTTCACAAAGGCACATAGTTTAGTCACACAATCACAAAAGCAAGTAAGACACATAACGACTCAAGCAAAGAGCATAGATCACATATAGCAAAACAACTCAAAGCATTCGGTTATTTATAATTACTATCTCCAAGTTTTATTAATTAAAGTTCAAGCCCTCTTTCTCAAGAGACTTGAAGTTTTCTTTCAAGTAGCATCAAATTTCCGTTTATTTCATTTTCTTTCCAAAGTATTCGAACCATCAACAATTCAATTACACAAAATTCCATTTTTATTAATCTTGTTCTCGATTTTTATCTTCGTATATTATCTTATTACTCATAGATCATAAACCATGGATCGTAAGCTTCCTCGACCCGGAGGGAGTACACTTACAACCACGTAGGTCGATATATATACACATAGAAATATATACTTATATATAGCACATATAGATTACAAATAAACCATGGATCAAGTACTTTCTTCGACCACGCAGGTTTACGAAAACCATGGATCGAAGTTTCCTTAAGATCACGCAGGTCTAGTATATATATAGATACATACATACATAAAAATTAAATTACAATATTATTCTTAGTTCTTCAAGATTGTATCATTTAAAGCTTAGATTCTTACATGCATGGATGATCTAACAATAAACAATTAAAGTACTATAACTTCTCAAATTTTCGGCCGTTAAGAACAAAGAAGGTGAAAGAAAAAAATAATATTGGTGAAGAATCACTTGTAGCAAGAATATGAAATTCTCACCTTAATCTTCTTAGAAAATTGGAAGGGTGTTCTTTCCTTTCTACAAGGAGAAGAAGAAGAAATTTTAGAGAGAGAGAGGAAGAAGAAGCTTAGCTTCTTGAAATTTTCGAAAATGAAGGAAAGAAAGAAGATGAAGAACACTTACTCCTTTGGCCAAGAATTTTACTCTTGAAAGAGAGATTTTGGGGCTTTCCTACACTACAATTTCGAAAATGGAGGAGAAGAGAAAGAGATTTTGATCTTTGATCTTTAGGATGTGTTAAGAATATGAGAAAATTGATGAAGGCTTGGGTTCAATTTATAGAGTTGTGGGGGACTACCATGCTTAATGCTTAAGGAGTAGTCTTTTTGCAATTTAGGAAAACTTAGGAATTATCTAGAGGGACTTCTTTGCAATTTCATTTAACTATTCAAAAAGGAAAATCTTAATGTACATGGGCTTACCTAGAGAAGGGTTGTACTCAAGGAAAATTTTGGTTTTGTATTGTACCATGGTCAAAATTGAGGGATGAATAGGAGGAATTTTCTATTTTTATTTAAGAAAATATGTGATTTTAAAATTTTCCTAACAAATAAGTTCTAGCAACAAAGGAGTATAATTAATCTCTAGATTAATAATTAACTAAGATGATCAATTTAAATTCGTCCAAAAATTATTTCAGACTAATGCATTCTATATGAAATTTCACCGGTTATCACATAAATAAAATCTTAAACTAATAAACGCACATAAGAGATAAAATCACGTTAACTAAATAGATGATAATTAATGAAAAATTAAATTATCGGAGACGCGGGGTGTTACATTTAATTTACAAATATTGGATGCTTGAAGCAATTGCATGACTTGTGGTTTTTGGCAATGGTAAGTGACCGAGTGCTTTTGAATTTTGAGCTTGCAAATGCCTAAATTTTTCATTATAATTACAAGTTCTAAAAACGTGAAGTTGATCATTAATCTATGTAATGAGATGTAGTAGTTGAGTTATTTGCTTATGAGTAGATTTTGCTTGAGGACAAGCAAAAGTTCAAGTTTGAGGGTTAAGTGTATATTTTTACACTTAATCGTTTCTTTTAATTGGATCTTTTGGTGTGTTTTATTGATAATTGGTGATTAAAATGTTGATTTATTGTGTTTTAGGTACAAATTGAAGAATTGGATAAGTAGGGGGTCAGAACTGCAATTTTGGAGAAAATATGGGCGAAAAGTAAAGAAGTAAAAAATCTGAAGAAATATAGCTCAGACGGCCGTCTGAGAAATACACTTAAATCTCAGACGACCGTCCGAGAAACAGAGGCAGTCTCTGCTTTTGAGACGGTCGTCCGAGTTTTATTACAAAATCTCAGACGGCCGTCCGAGAAGACGTAGATGCGCAGTAAAGGGATTCTAATTGCACAAGTAAACTACCTTCTTTTCCAAGTTTATCATCCTAAATAAGACCAAGTCAGACACACAATTGGGTATGAATCTTTTAAGCAATTTCAAGAGCAACGAAGCAATAACGAAGACACAGAATTCGAAGACTACAAGCATAGTTTATCTTTTCATGAATTGTTATTTTGTTTTTACTTTAATCATGAGTAGCTAACTCTTTTATTTCTAGGATTTTATTTCGAACCCTATGTGGAATTTATGAACCCTTTTCTATGATTTTATACAAGTTTTAATTCCGAATTATTTCTTCTACTTGTTTTATTACGTTCATGTAACTGGCCACTTTATGTGCTTTTATGTTATTGTTAATCGCATGAATCGTAAGATCGGGTTAATAATTAGAACTGTGGTAGAAGAGCATTTGTGGTATTAACATAGGAATATAGTTAATCTATTGGGTAGCCATTATTGAGATTTGTGCTTAATGTTGTGTTCTAGAATTAATTGCGTAGGAATATAGTAATTGAATCTAGGGTATTAGAATTATAATACACGCGGAAGCGGGTTATGATTAATTTAGCCTCTCAAGTTAATAATTCGAGTGAATTGCTTGCATAATTGAAGGGATTGGGGGAGTAATAATCACATAGGGGGAAGAATAAAATCCTAGGCTTGCTTTATCTGGTTAAATCTTCGCTTTTAATTGCTTTCTTGCTTTTGTCTTTTTAATTTGCTTAATTTAGTTTATTAATCCTCTTTCGACTGTGTAGGGTGGGCTTATTTATAATTGCTAGAATTTATCGTTTAGGATTAAATAATTAAATATTTTATGTGGGATCGATATCCGGACTTAATTGTTTACTATATTACTTGTACGATACGTGCACTTGCGTGTAGGTATTACAACCAACAACACCCTAGACCATAGCTAGATCCGCCACTGCCTCCACCTACCGTACCTTCATTTCCACCTCTAAACATTTCCAACCCGCCGCCATTACTTGCCTCGTTCCTACCTAAGTTTGTCGATCGAATCTTCCACCATAGAAGTATAAAAACGGATATTCCCCAATTTCTATTTAAGAATTCACCACCTCCGGCCGCCGAGGAGATGTAGTGCAATGCACCAATTAACGGAGATGGATGTTGCAGTTGTTTTTTCGCCAGAGAATGTTGTGTGGCTCGCCCACGAAGCTATATCCGTGAAGAGAGGAACGGTGTTGGTCGTCGGAGAATTTCGGAATTTTTTGAAATTAGCGTTTGAGATTTTTTTGGTCAGGGATGGATTGGGCTTGGGAAAGAAGGTGGGGTGACGCGGATTTTTTTTTCCTTTTTCCTTTTCCTTTTTTTTTTTTCTTTTTTCTTTTCTTTCTTTTTTTTTTTCTTTTAATATTTATTTGTATTTAAAATTAAAGATGCAAGTGAACAGACGAATTTACCTCTGCAAATCTCACGTGCAAAGAACATGTTTTAACATTCCGGCCAAAATTGTCGAAAAATTGAGTTCAGGGAGTACTGGCAATACTTTAACGAGTTAATGTAAAAACGTGCAAATTTTAGTTGTTTGGGGAATAAAGCGATCGGGGGCAAACTGTTTTTTACTCTTAAAAAAACTATAATAGCATCATTGGGGACCAATATCTCACCCTCAGTTGTATAAGTAGGGATTAAAAACGAATAAGTCCAATAGTGTAGGGACTAAAAAATGTAATTATTCTAGACAGTAATTTTGAAACCTATAACTAAATAAATGTCACTAATCACTTGGGGAAAACGTGTAAATATTAAAAGTATAAGGGTATATCTATAAATATGCTATACAAGTTTTTACTTGTAATAATTTTTTTTGATATAGTTTCATACAAGCATATTTAAAATAAAATTTACCATCGACTATCAATATGCAATTAATCATTAAATAGTATAAATAATTAGAGAAGCGATAAAAATATTTAAAAATTCGCTATTCAAACATATCTAACTTTTTAGAAATTGTAAAATGACCTATAATGTGTTCGACATGTGCCTTAAGTGAAACATAATCTAAAGTACAAAAAAATTGAATTCAATTATGGATGTTACTTGTTATTAAATTAAAAATCACATTTTATATCAGATTTTGAACAATTTTACACAATAAACTGATTTTGTTTTTATTAACTGATTAGCAAGTAGAGAATTAATTCAATTTAATATGACATATATAATCGGACGAGCAGTAAAGAAACTGTTTTTTTTTTTTTCGGTTAGATAATAATTATTTTCCATATTTTATAATTAAAAAAAAAAAGTAATATATTTTATTAAGATTAAGTAGTCTACATTAAACAAAAAGGAAACAACAGGTAAATATTTCCTAATTATGGAGATTAAACAAATTAAGAGATAAACCTTCCTTATATGCACTTAATTCCACCACACAAGGAAACAAAATTCTGGATCAAAAAATAAGTTAATTAATTAATATAAACCTTAAATTAAACCGTGAAATTAAGGAAACTTATCCCATATTTTGCTTAGCATCCTTTTTTACATCAAAACCTGACTCTATAAATAGGCCTAACTAGAACACATGCAAGCACACACCTAAAAATCGAACTTTCTCGATTCGTTCAAAAGAAATATAATTCGATCTACAGTAATAATGGGAGCAAATACTAGCAGTTCTGTAAAGGAGGAACCAACGACTAGGGTTCTTTCGATTGATGGCGGTGGAGTTAGAGCCTTAATCCCACTCGTTATTCTAGCTAAACTCGAATCTCAGCTTCAGGTACGTACACACACATATACAGTACAATCTCGATAATGGTTTAACTGTATTAATACACACACGTATTATTTTCATGATTCGTATAAAAAATTGTAGAGGTTTTGACACTGAATATTATATATATTCTTCAGAAAATAGACGGTAAAGATGCGAGGATTGCAGATTATTTCGACGTAATTGCGGGTACAAACACAGGAGCACTAACTGCTGCAATGCTTACTACACCGAACGAAAATAATCGTCCGATGTTTACTGCACAAGAAATCATAGAATTTTACCTTGACAACTTCCCTAAAATATTCCCACAGGGGTAAGTAATTCTTTTTTATTATTATAGTTATATATTATTATTAATAATTTTTTTTATTTTTTATTTTGTAGTTCTAATTTTGATTAATATTTTGTTTGTTTGGTCCAGAGATAATATTTTTAGCCGTGCTGCAAAAAAATATAAACAGTGGTTCGGGGAAATAAAATATGATGGCAAATATGTAAATAAAGTAATAAAAGAGAAAATTGGTGATACAAAACTGAATCAAACTCTCACAGATATTGTCATCACCACAGACCCCATCACATTCTCAACCAATCAGGTTTTTTTTAATTTTGTCTTTTTTTTTTTTTTTTTTTTTTGTTTTGTTATTTTTCTTATTTATTTGTATTTATATTTAACATATAAATTAATATTTACAATTTGTGATTTAGGTGGAGGATAAGGATGTTTCACTCTCAGACATCTGCATTGGAAGTTTAGCTTTTCCGGCTTATTTGCCTCCGCATTCCATCGTAACTAAAGATTCCGACGGCAATTCCAAACAATTCGACCTCACTGGCAGTCCAATCGACAATCCGGTAAGTATATATATCTCTGTCATACACTTTCCCAATAAAAAAATTAAAAAAAAAAATCAATAACAACATACTAATTAGTATTTTTTTTTTTTTCCGGGATTAATTTTGATTTTCCAGACATCAGCTGCAATGATGCAAATACGAAAGGAGAAGCGTGATTGTTCCCCGTTTGTTTTGTCGGTGGGAAGTTGTTTACCTAAATATAACATCAAGAAAGCAAGAAAATGGTTTCTTTACAAATACACAGTAATGAATGGTTCGTCGACCGTTTGGCGTACAATCGGTCGACTTGCGTCATTTCTCATTGATTACGACAGTCTCTTTTATCTCCAAGACGCTCACGGTGGAGAAGAATCTCTTCAACGCTTTCTCTCTCAAGATAATTATCTTCGAATTCAGGTATTTTTTTCTTTTTTCATTAAATATTCATTTACAAAAATATCAAATTTTTTGATACATGTAATAAAAATAAAAATGTATTTATTTTTCAGGACGATTCTTTAACCGGGGCAATGTGTTCAATAGACGTTGCGACGAAGAAGAATTTGAAGAATTTAGTGAAAGCCGGAGAAAATTTGTTGAAGAAACGAGTTTCGAGGCTAGATTCGAAAAGTAGAAATTTTGTGCCGATTAGCGAGGAAACGAACGAGGAAGCACTGTTTAAACTAGCAGCAGAGCTTTCGTGGGAGAAGCGAATTCGAGATCCGGATTTTCTTGCGATAGCAACAATATAATAAATACATAGGCATGGATACAAATTTATTGTGGGGAAATATTATTTTTATTATTAAAGTACATAATTGTCATAGGAATTTCTTGATCTCATTTATATACTGTTTTTTCTCTTGCTACAATAATATTGTCAGTCATCACAATTCAAACATAATATATTATTATTTCTAAGTAATAATATCAATTATTCCATTTGAAGTATATTTATAGATCAAATTACAGTAAAATCTCGATAAATTAATAACCTCAGTAAAATTATACATTTTCGCGGTCCCGAGTTCAAAAATATGTCACTAGTGTTACTAACCTCTGTATTCTGCTCCGATCCATCCGGGAATTTTCTTTAGTAGGATATATGTAACTTTTATTTGCATATTTTTTTTTATGTACCTGCAACGAATTAAGGCAATATTATCCATGAAAATTGCATTGCTATAAAAATAAATAAATAAATCCACAAGAAACTTGCAATGCTTCTGACACTCTTGTGAAAGTCGAGCAATGTTGGTTCAAATACAGTCAACGTTGTCGCCTTGACCCTAGAAAAAAAGGGAAAAAAATTAATGCAGTTATAAATCTAAAACACAACAGCGAAAATGAAATAATACTATAACACAACTGAAATTCATTTCAATTCAATTTTTTTTCTCAAATTCCAACTTTATTTTAGTTTCAATGTGTGAAGATTTTTGCCTTGCACGTGAGATTTGCAGGGGTATATTTGTCCTGTCACTTACATTTTATATCTTAAATATAAATTGATCTTTAAAAAACCCAAAAAAATAAAGGGTAAATTCCATTTTATCCCATCGTACTCTGCCCGAGAATCACTTTATCCCCTCGTACTCTCAATTTCATTGATTACCCCCTGTACTTGTACAATTTCCCAATACAGCCCTATCCGTCAACTTTTTTCGGTTTTGACTCTGACGCCGTTTGATCAATTCTGTAAATTACAAAATTGCCAATAACACGTCGTTTCTTCTACGTCAATATTGTCGTTTCTTCTTCTCCACCACTTTCACTTCCAAGATATCCCCAAATTGAAGCCCTAACTTAGCAAAAATCAAGACCCAAAAATTGATCGAAATTCCACCCAGTGCAAAGAAAAAAATATATGAATGTGTGAAACTTTCTCTATTCTAAACTCGAGAGTCAAAATCGAAAAAAGTCAATATTTACGTCAATATTTTGACTCTAACCAAACGACGTCAGAGTCAAAATCGAAAAAAGTTGACGGAGAGGGCTGTATTGGGAAATTGTACAAGTACAAGGGGGTAAATCGATGAAATTGAGAGTACGAGGGGGTAAAGTGATTCTCAGGCAGAGTAAGAAGGGGTAAAGTAGAATTTACCCCCAAAAAAATTCCATCTTCTTCCCTTCGCCCACCACCCTCCCAAACCCGTCCCCAGCCGAAAATTCCTTCAGCCACCTGCCGCCGATTTAATCCGTTGATGCCATTCTCTTAATCATAAAACACTCCACATGCCCCGCGAACACTGTCCTCCACTCTCTCGCAACCCCGACCATCAACCCCACCCCGACGAATCATCATAACCTCCACCCAGTGGCGAATCCAGGATTTTTACCAAGGGTGTTCGAAATTGCGGAATAAAAAAATTTAAATATCACTTTATAAAAATAGTAGACCAAAAATTTACAATTTTCAAATTTTAGGAGAATTGTGGAAGATAAAAAAGGTGAAAAATGACTATTTTGAAAAAAATAAAAATAGTAGACCAAATTAGGAGAATTGTGGAAGATAAAAAAGGTGAAAAATGACTATTTTGAAAAAAAGTCAATATTTGCCAAGAGCAGGTATCGAAACCGGACATATAAATGTATGAAAAAACTATTTTACCACCTCAACCACTAGCCATTTCTATCAACCTATGTATATTAGTACAATTCGTTTTTAAATTAAGGGTGTGCAGCTGCACACCTGATAAGTGTATATTTTTACACTTAATCGTACATTTTAATTGGAGCTTTTAGTGCGTTTATTGATAATTGATACTTAAAATGTTGATTTATTGTATTTTAGGTACAAATTGAAGAATTAGATAAATAGGGGGTCAAAACTGCAATTTTGGAGAAAATATGGACGAAAGGTGAAGAAGTAAAAAATCTGAAGCATTATAGCCCAGACGGCCGTCTGAGAAATACACCTATATCGCAGACGGCCGTCCGAGAAACAGAGGCAGTCTCTGCTTTTGAGACGCCCGTCCGAGTTTTAGTACAAAATAGGGCCGGCCGAGAAGATGTAGAGGCGCAGTAAAGGGATTCTAATTTATTGCACAAGGAAACTACATTCTTCTCCAAGTTTTCCACCCTATATAAGACCAAGTCAAGCACACAATTGGGTATCAATCTTTTACACAATTTCAAGAGCAACGAAGCAATAACGAAGACGAAGAATTCGAAGACTACAAGCATAGTTTTTCTTTTCATGAATTATTATTTTGTTTTTACTTTAATCATGAGTAGCTAACTCTTTTATTTCTAGAATTTTTTTTCGAACCCTATGTGGGATTTATGAACCCTTTTCTATGATTTTATGCAAGTTTTAATTCTAGATTATTTTTTCTACTTGGTTTATTAACTTCATGAAACTGGCCAGTTTATGTGCTTTTATGTTCTTGTTTCTTCTTCAGGACTATATAATTCCGACTCTTGACGGATTCTGCCCAAGCATCCAATATCCACCTATTGAGGCGCACAATTTTGAGATCAAACAAGGCCTTTTGACACTGCTTCAAAATAACGGGCTATTTAATTAGTGGATTGGCAGGTGAGAATCCCCATCTTCACATTGTCAATTTTCTAGATACATGTAATTCCCATCGACAAAACGACGTTTCCCAAGAGGCGCTTCATATGATTCTCTTCAAACATTCCTTACAAAGAAGATCCCGCCAGTGGTTGATGTCCCAAGCCCCCCACTCTATTTCGTCGTGGCCTCAACTCCTCAATCATTTCATGAAAGTTTACAGCTCACTAGAGAAGGACGAGAGAATACGACGGGAAATTCATAGTTTCGTCCAAGATCAAGGGGAGCCATTATACGAGGCAAGTGAGAGATTTAAAACTCTTTTGCAACAATGTCCAACCCATGGAGTAGAGCAATGGCGGCAAATCCACGTCTTCTACCAAGGAATTAACGAGAATGCAAGAACCGTCTTAGATGCATCAACCGGGGGTAACTTAATGAATCAATCGATACCGGATGCATTTATTATGTTGGATCAAATTGCGCAAAATCGGTTTGCCAAGTCATGCGAAAGGACAGTTAGTGGAGCCAAAAAAATTCCGGGAGTTTTGGAGTTAGATGCAATTACGGCCCTTCAAGCTCAAATAACCCAAATTGTTCAAGAAAATCAACTCCTCCTACAGCACATCAAAGCGTATCCACCACAAAAAGTCCAAGTCGTGGATTCTCCATGTTATGAAATTTGCGGTGGAAATCATTACACGCTCCAATTCCAACAAGATGTGGAATCGCTCAACTACGTAAACAATGCGCCTCGCCAATTCCAAAATCAAGGATGGAGATCACAAGGGCAATACGGAAGAAATCAACAAGGCCAAGGGTATCAAAGACCTCAAGGTCAATTTCAAAATCGAGCCCCTCCTCAACAAAGCTATCAAGGCAACAATCCACCGGCCCAAAAATCAAATACGGGTGAGATATAGGCCCAATTTATGACCGCTACTCAAGCCTCGCTGCGAAATTTGGAGACTCAATTCGCACAACTAGCATTGTATGAAGAGAACCATCCGGCGGGAGCATTGCCATCAAATACGGAAGACCCTCGAAAGAAAAAGTTCAAGACTTGCCAAGCTATCGATTCCAGGATCGAGGAAAGAGAAGAAACTCAAATTAAGCCGCAAGTCACTGTAGCCGAATGGTTGGAACCGAACCCATATCCCCAAAGATTTCAAAAGAAAAAGATCGAGGTCGAGACATGTCTAGCAGTCACCTTGAAGAATGGTAAGCAATTGGAGGAAGCCCCACGAAAAGAGAAGAGAAATACGGTAATCGAGAAGCCGAAAAAAATTGAGAAAAAGGAATCAATTCAAGAATAACCAACATCAATAGTGATTGCACGAGCCCCACCAATTCCATATCCTCAAGAGTTTCTAAAGAAGAAGCTCGATGCCGAATACCAAGTTTTGTGGACAAGTTGAAGGAAATTCGCATAAATATTCCTTTCATCGAAACACTTCAAAAGATGCCAAAGTGGGTGAAGTTCCTCAAGGACCTCGTGACGAAGGATAAGAAATTGCAAGGGAACGAGATGATCCAACTCACCGAGCAATGCAGTGCAATTCTTACTCGGCCCCTTCCACAAAAACTCGGCGATCCAGGTAAGTTTACTATTCCTTGTAATTTAGGAGGTAAAAGTTTTAGATCTCTCATTGATTAGGCGCTAGCATTAATCTTATGCCTTATTTAACTTTTAAAAATCTTGGGTTATGTGAGATTGAACCAATGGCTATAACTCTTCAATTAGCCGATAGGGTTTTAGTTTACCCAAAAGGTTTTAATAAATTTATCTTCCCTGTTGATTTTGTTATACTTGATATAGATGAGGATAGGGAGATACCTCTTATTGTAGGGAGACCGTTTTTAGACACGTCGAAAACTCTAATTGATTGTGCTAGTGGTGATGTTACAATAACGGTGCACGGTCAAACAATCAAACTCAATGTTGTTAGTACTAATAGAAACCCATGTGATAATAATGAGTGTTTTGCTATTAATCTTATGGATTTTACAAATCATGAAAATTTTGATGTTTTGATCTTGAACCATGGGAAAGCATCTTTGAGTGCACGAGATAATGGCGGAAACATGAGTCGGAAGGAGCAAGTTTATTTTGTGGACTCAATTTCTACTCATCTGAGAGAAAGTCATACGATTTGGGGTGTTAACGACAATGAAAGTGCAAGGAGGATGTTGCCACCAAAAGAATCGAGCAAGCCACGAGAGAAGGACTGTTCAAGCTATTGGGGTCGTAAGGATGAAGTCAAAGGGAAATTGCACAAAGGACGATTGGTGTTATTGTGCAAATCCCGTCTTTGGTTATTCCCAAGGAAGCGCAAATCAAAGTGGTCGGAGCCGTTTATTATCCAAGAGATTCTTCCTCACGAAGTAGTCAAGATAAAGGAGCGAGATTCGAATCGTACGTTCAACGTGAAACGGATCTGGTTCAAACCTTACTGGGAAGCGAGTAAAGATTGCCAAGTGACTTTGGTCACTTTTGCTTGAAAATAAAGAAGCAACGT